TGACTGCATCTAATCGTCGAATACTCAGGCAAGTCCGACGATCGATACGCATCCAATGCTGTGCGACAGCTTGCGATCGTTGCTGTCGTCCGACCGACTATGCGTCATACTGCTTGAAAGTGGCGGGACCCAACATTTAAAGGAAGTCCACTTCAAAGTACGTCACTGTTCGAAAGCGGTGTGACTCCACTGAATCGCTCGATTCGCACTGTGACATCGACCTAAGGCTGATTCCTTGTCCCCTAGTCATGAAAGGTTACCGCAACGCTGAGGTAATGTTAAATATTGCTCCCACAACCAAATCACATAACCTTTCTTTTAAACGGCTTTCATTTCAGGTAGAGTGATATTGTGGAAATATGTCGCAAAATCTGGGCCGATCTTCACTTATGGAGATGGCTACGAAGAATATCAGCGAAGCAGGAGAAGATGAGCATTTCCATGACTTCGAGGTAAAACTACGTCTGCTAGAATGGGTGAGGTAGTGCTCAACCGTTGTAGGACTGTTATCCAATTTTCCGACTTGTAGGACTTCAAATAGCTGTGAGATCTTGTACTAGAGAGTACGGCTCGTCGGTGGCGCTTCGCTTACTTAGAGACTGGGAAGCTCACCTTCAAATGACCAAGCGGTGGCGCTTTTGCGGCGAACGGGCTCCTGTGGGGACGTAAAAGCGCCCGTTTTCTTGGCGCCTTCATCCCTCCAATTTGTCATCTTGGCTGGTGGACCGGGAGTCAGGGGAGAGTGTATTTGCTGTCAACGAGCACCGATGAGACTTGCCCAACTAAAAAACAGCAGGAAACAAAGCCCATTTCTGTGGATTTTAAAGGAGGATTTCACGATTAGAATGAAGGTCGAAGAAAAGTAATTGACCTAGTTGAGGGACCCACGGACCTCCTGAGGGTGCGAACTGATGCGCAATTCGCATGAAAAATTTGACCTCGGCGACCTATCATGCCTCAAAGTTGGCGGGTCCGGCGATCTCCGCCCACCGATCATCTGATCACTCGCCGCAGTCTATACGTGGCGAGTGATTAGATAGGTGATTTCTTCTTCGATTTCTTCTCCTCTGCTTTTCCTCCTAACGTCTCTGATATCCTCAAAGGAGACCGATTGGTCGTACCATCTGCCTTTAACCCATCTCTAGCGCAGGTAAATTTTTGGAACACAGTTATAGGACCTATGTGCACTGGATCCTTCAAAGTTTAGGACAGTGCTGAGCAGGAAGGTCACAGGTATTCCATTCTCTTGGCTCTAGAGTCTTCCTCTTCTTCCTAGCATTAGTCCCGCGTACTGGGGTATTCTGCCTGTAAATCGTCGCCACTTTTATCTGCTCAGGGCGGCTCTTCTGGCCGTGGTTAAGCTTAGGTTCTTCTTCGTTTAAGCTTAGGTTTCTGATTTAGTCCGCCTCTTTACCTTTTCTTCTGGATCTGCTCGCCGTCGCCTTGCCTGCCGTTTCGGACGTTCCACGCTCGTTTGTCCATACCATCGCAGACGTCTGCTTCCCGTATCTTCAGCTGGACAGGGGCAGTCTGCATGACCGCTCTGACATCCTCGTTTCTGACCCTGTCCAGCCGCGTCCAGCCGCAGGCCCACCTCAGCATCCTCATCTCAGCGGAGTGAAGCTGCCTTTCGTGGTTCTTGTTCAGGGGCCAGCACTCGCTGCCGTATAGCATCGCAGGCCTGACACTGTCCGGTCTTCGTATAATCAGGACACCGTTCCTTTGACAAGCGTTCCTTGGGGCACCTTCGATCGCAGAAGAAGATTTTAGTGGACTCCCTCCATGCATGCAGTGTTGACTCGACTCTTTACTGCCTTGATCCACACCACCGTCAGCAGCCAGATCGCTCCAAACTAGCGGAAGTCCTCCACTCTTCGATGGTCTCACCATGGCCGTCTACGATCGGCTCTGCATCCTCTTCAGGAGCTTTGTTGGTTGTCTTGTCCAGTGCAAGCCGAAAGCCCACTCTATGTCCCAAGACGCAATCGTCTCCATTTCTGAAGTTCTTCTTTGGGGAGTGTGTCCAACTGTCAGTGGCGCTTGTCCTCAGTGGTAGGGAGGATCTGTTCCACTGAGCCCTACTATTGAGCCCTTCACAAAACATCTAGGAAAAGGACGGAGGAGGAAAGCTGGGGCCATTAGAGCCAATCACCGGGGGTGCGCATCCCAACCGTGATGTCCACCTTCTTCGTTAAGCTGTTAGGGGTGCGTATTGCCGCCTCAGCGCCATTTGTACATGTCCCTCACTAATGAGATTAGGCGCTCTGGCACGTTGCTTTCTCTAAGCGCCTTTCAGAACACTGGGGTGAAGCTCGCCACAAAACACCACAAGTGTTTCGCGAGCAGGGAGAATCACGGTCGAGGTTTCTCGACCGTTATTCACCCTTCCGGAGCTGGCACGCGCGATGGCGAGTGTCGTGATATGTCTCGCGCGAACGGAGAATTGTGTCCACTATCGGGGCAGAGAACTCCCTCTCTACACGCCGCCCGATTATCAGTCCCTCAAGCCATATTCACCCCCCTGCGCACTAAACAATGAGAAAAGTGGAGAGGTTGGTAAAGGAGAGGAGTTCAAGTGTCAGATGTCGATCAGACTTGGCGATTGCCAAGCGATGGACAAGCGAACAAGGGATATACACGAGAAAACCCTAAATATAAAAAAACGATGAATACCTACTGTGATACGGATCGTGGGCGGGGTGCTATTGCCCATCGCCTTAATCATTCATGCCGCGGAGCGAGTTGGCTAATGCGTACGGTACACGCGGCGATGCCGATCGCGTTTCCCACCAATCTGTCACAATTCGGTTCGGAGGTAACTGCCAGGGGAGGAGTTCAAGTGCCGAACCTACTCCCACGCGTGTCGCGACGGTGGTGGGTGGCCGTGATTGGTGCAACAGGTGGATCAGGCACCGTGGTTATCTCGGATTGTGGTTGCGGAAACTGTTAGGCCGAATGGCACAGAATGTGCAGTCGGCCGCCAAGTCACAAGTGTTGCTTTGCCAGAGAAAAATCTTTATAAGACTTCGTATATTATTATCGTTCTTCGGAACCTTAAAATGAGGCAATGGTTTGATCGCGAAACGTGTAACGAGCAAAGAGACAGAAGCGGACAATGCCCGTACATTCGCGAGCGCTAGCGAGCATACAGAAAGCGGGTGAAATACTGGAAGAAATTCTCGCTACTATAATGGTTCTGTTAGCAGCGGCCCATTGGTCATGACAATTGAAAAAACGGAATTTTTCTAGATATCTAGGATGTCTCAACAAGTTCTGAACACAACCCAAAATTTCTTAGGTTGCCCAATGTTTTCGCCACAACCCGCGTTCGGCCGCGTGCGCAAGAATTCACCGCCCAAGCAAACAAGCACGCGAACAACATCGATACTGCGGAGAAGGGCTCTGTTTGAAAGACTCTCAGCCACCGCTCCTGGAACCTCATTGTACTTCCATTCGTCTGGAAGTTTAAGTTATCATCAACTTCGGTGCCAATAACTACCATAACTCTGTCCGATGCCGACCACGCCTACCACGCGCTGGCCGCGGACTTCCATCTCTTCTTTGGTCGCCTCCGCCATGAAGCCGAACTCTTGATACTATTGTCGTTTTGGTGGCATGTAGATCCGCTCCCCCCAGCCATCTGCTTGATCAGGTCAGGTCACGCTTGCTTCTTCTAACTAGTAGAGTCTTGCCTTCGCACGATTTGACGGCTCTTAGAAGGATACGCGCAATTTCTCTAAGGACCTACACGGTTTTCTAGCCTTCCGGCCTCGGGAGCAATCCTTTGTCAACACGGTGAGCCAATGGAAAGGGAGGAACGTTGCGGCTCTCTCTCCGTTTCACATCCAAAGGATGCTCACGTACGTCGTTCATGCCAGCCGCTCCTTGGAGTTCATTCATCGCTGTCCCCCCTACCTCGAAGCACGGGCGGATGAAAAGTGGATATCGTATGAAAATCCACACAGGAAATTGCAATGGCTACCAGTGGACGTGAAGCCCTCAACCCGTTCCAAAGCGAGGCGCCCACGCCAAAAAGGAGATGATATCCTTCTTCTTTGCTCCACCGGCTGCATATACTACGAGATCTACCCGAGGGTACTGCGGTGACGGCAAGAGTATTCTGTGAGCAACTGCGAGAGATGGTGTCTCGAGCCCCCAGTTCACACCGACTACAAGGGAAGTTTGTCATTGTGATGGACAATGCTCGACCACACCACGCGAGGACGACGACGGAGGAGCTGGAAGGACTTACAAGGAAAGCCCTTCAGGTCGCCATGGCCGTTCAAATGAGATGTATACCCTATGCATTTTGACGCGCTGATTTCAAATCTGCCTTCCAAATCTGCTAAACGACTCTCTGAACGGAGTTATGAAGCCGAAAAGCGCAACGGAAGCAGTGCGGGCGGGCTCATGAGCTCGTGGGATCGGTTCCTCTGCAAGTATATACGGATATTATAGGCAAACATGAATGAATTAACATGTGCAAGAGTCATTTATGAAACGTTGCGCACAAAAGCAAATGAATGGACTCGCAGAGGAATCGATCTCATGAGCTCTTGCTCAGGAGCCTGCACTGCTTCCATTGCGATTTTCGGCCCCGTAACTCTTTTCAGAGAATCGTTTAGCAGATTTGGAATGCAGATTTGAAATCAGCGTGTTAAAATGCATAAAGTAGTATACATCTCATATGGAATGGCCATCGGTGACCAGTCCAGGGAATGTGCCCTTGTTAGTAGTAATCTGCGTGTACACCACCCTCCATATGGTGCACCCTGGTCTTGGAGCTCTGTGACGGACTAACCATGGCTTTCATGAGCCTGCAGGCATAAAAAACTCAGAGCACCGTGTAAGAGGCGAGGTTATTGGTGGTGTCACCCCCGCACGGTGCACAATCTATCTAGTAGTTACTCACATTTCATCAAGTGGAGGAGACACAGCGAGGCGTTCAACATCGGCAGATCAGGATTCACGTATATTAGAAAGCACTCTCTCTCCTCTCCAGAGGGAGCGTCGTATTCCGAGCCACCCCTCTCGTGCTTCGTGAAGCTTATGGAGAACCTCTTGCCGTGTTGGGTTCGGGTCCCGGTCCGCGTACCTCTTTTGGGGTTTGGATACTGTAATCGAAATTTGCGACCCATTGGCGAAATTGCGCATCTCTTTGGAGTTTCTAGCCGTTGTGGATGCTTGGCTAGCGCCTCTTCACAATCGACATCCGGAGAAATACGCTTTCAGTTTACCGAAATATTAGAAATACCTGTCAACAAAATGTTTGAATCTCGTTTGCTCAATTTTGAGGACTGTTACACATTCCGCAGACCCTTTGCCATAACTGAACTTTTGGAAAACAAGGCGTGACGCTCAAAACTCCGCTTTCAGTTGCTTCCAAAACAAGCTGGAATAATATCCATTTGTCGCACACTGGAGGTCGTTTCGTCGCGAGATTCTTGTGCTCGAACGATTCGCTTTCTTTGTGGAAGTTTCGGCAATCAGCTTCTCTTAGACAGTGAGGGAGAGTAAAAAACGAAGTCTATACTTCCACTCGGCGTACATAAAAGAAAGGCGTTTGACGTCGCGTTCATTTTCTTCCTTCCACAAACTCCTGGAAAGTTGAAGTTTCCCCAGCAGCTGCAGAAACCCCGTCTTTCCTTGAAGGTAGAACCAACCTGCCGGGAGAGAGTACTCGGAACCATGATCGACTTTTTGGAAACCATTTTAATGTAACACAATTGGGAATCGTTGCCCATAATAGTTTTCGGCTGTAACTCCACATTGGACTACTGTGGCCAAAGAAGTGGCATTCCCCTCGTCGGGTACCGAGAAAAACCCCGCCAACGAGTCAACGTTAGTTCAGCCAGCTGGTTAGAATTCAACCTGAAGAGTGGGGAGTCTTGCCACGATGAAAATGCTATGACATATAATTCACTCATGTGCAATGTTTAGAGTCCCGTCCAAGGTCGTCTCCTGCTTTTTCGGCTGGCTAAACTCCGAGATAACTCTCGTCTGTGTGACGTGACGCTGGTCGCCGAGGTAGCCCACTAACGCAAGGACCGTTCAATAGACATAAAAGAGATATTTCAGGGAACACGGATAAGCGCCCATCGAGTCGTTCTTGCTGCAAGTACAGATTATTTCGAAGCCATGTTCGCAAACGATATGGCTGAAAGCCGCCTGGGTATTTCGTTTTATGTCCTTATACAATCCGTCTCAAAAGTAAAGAGGCACCCAACATTGAATTCAAGCAAGAGTCCCAGCAAGGTTTTTACCTTCGATACTAACAGTGTGGAAATGATGCGTTAGCCCTGATCAAGAACATATGAAGTAGTGAACAAAAAACTCGATAGAAAGCCGCTAAACAGGGACTTGGGCGCTTTCGAAGTGGGCGTCACTGACAATATCGGTAACGCCCACTCTGCTTGTATTGGTGCATAGGCGATTACAGCCTCGTTTCTTGTGGCACAAGCAAGTAATTCGCACGCTCCTTTCTTCATTTCTAAGGTGATGAGGGGGAGTCTCTGCTAAGCTTTTCTCTGTGCCAAACAGGTTTTTTATAGTGAAGCGTTTATTGTGCCGACGTTTCGACTAGCTCGTCGTCTTCAAGGCCTGAAGGAAGCATTTCGAAAATTCTCAAATGAAACTTATCCTACTTAACGCTCACTCACTCCTAACTAGTAGCAACTCGAGCAAAAGGTGCAATCCGAGTCGAATCCAACATTGGTCACTCACCTTGGCTTCACCACCACCCTTAGCCTCTCCGCGCCAGAATATAGTAGGAAATGAGACTGACCGATCACTGCACTCCCACCATGGTGCGTACGTGCAGGTTGTCACGTTCATTTAATCAGAGCTCACATAGTGGAATGTATGGCTTCATTCGCCTCCTTAAACTTCATTATCGGCCGCCTCTACCCCGCGAATTCAATCTGGAATTGTTGCTTCGGGTCTGTTGTCCGACGGCGGGGCATCTGCTGCTGCAACCTGCTAACGAGTTAAACAGAGCAACGCCTTCTATCAGCAAACAAACCAGAACATGTAAAGAACCAGTATTCATCTCTTCGAAGAAAAGTGCTCTCAACAGAATAAAGCCCTATCGCCCTATGCGATCATGTGAGTAACACCTCGTCAAACGATGGTTTCTGTTAGAAAGGAGCTAAGCCTTGGCGGAGGAAGGGGAGACTCCAGAGTGAGTGATTTTCATCTTTTTCGTAGCTCCTGCCCACCCCCGAGGCTTAGTCCTAGGGAAGCCCGATATCTTGTGGTGCGCCACTTTTTCTAGATGTGGAAAGGAAAAAAAAAGGTTTAGTGCAGGAAATAGGTCAGTTCCTCTCACCAGGAAGGTCTTTCAGGAAATGCCAGCTTTCTTGAAAACGGTTTTTTGCATGATATAGGGGCACATGCATGGAACACAGAACTGTGTTCATTTTTCCTGAGCGGCCCTCTGAATACCAAAAAAGGGGTGATGAAGTGGTCCGTGGTTCGAATCCTCGCAGTGACAATTTTTTGCATTTTGTGTTGGCGTTCCAAAATTCGAAAAAGGGTGTCAGCGTGAATAGCAGATGTCATATCTATAATTAGGAGCAACAGCAACCTTCATACGTAGATTTTGACTAAAAAAACTGGTGGAGAAAGTTGCGACACCAAAACGGCGCCGTTGTAGCGCCCAATGGCGTCATAGCGAATTCAAATGACGTTTACGCTAAAAACTAATAGAATATTCGTAATCAGGACGCCGAATAACCCCTAACCCGAAAGTTTCAGGGAAAATTAAGATTTCGTCCCAACTTCGAACAGTTGGACCATGGGTAGATAGATCAGTAGCCCGTCAGGCTCATTGGTAGATAATTTGGA